TGGTGCCCCTGTCACCCCAACCTGGCATCTCCTGGGACCTGAGCCGGCTGTTTTCTTGCCTTGATGGCTGCTGAGAGGAGCAGTGGGGTTGGGACAGGGTCTCGTGAGGGAGCGGGAAAACAACTCCACATCTGGCTCTGCAGCAGGGAAGGCACATTTGAGTAGGCAGAGATGCAGTTTTGGTTTGGAGAGCATCTGCAGGCTGCTGTCTACCTGCTGGGAGCAGCGACCTGGACCTTGTCCCTTGCACCCAAAATCCCCAAACCAACAGCTCCAAGGCAAGGAGGGACTTGTAAAACACCGCTGACTTCACCCAACTATACCCATATTGGCATACAATAAAAACAAAAAGCATTGGCCTTTCCTTTCGAACAAAGCCAGCACTCCTTGCGGGCGGCCTCTCTTTCTCCACAAACCAACCGTGGCCCACAAAGGGTGAGACAAGGAGTCATCCTCTCTCCCCACTCATCCCACTGCCTCCCTACTTCATCCCCAATGATGCCACTAGCATCAGTGCTGAATGGGGTGCCACCTGCTCAGGGTGTGCTGGCCTGGGACGTGCACGCACAACTGGTTGCATTGAACGCAGCCCCTGAGCTAAGGAACCAACCCTCTGCCACTGCCATGAACCAACTGAATCTCCTTTACCCTCTGAATCCGTCCACCCCCAGCTCAGCCTTGCTGCAGGCAGCGTGAGGCAGAGGGGCAAAGCTGCCGTGTCGAGTAATTCGTCTTTCTTCAATCCAGGACTGACCACCACCAACACAGCACTGTTGGGTCCCCCATGGGGACGGCACCACTAGCTTGCACACCCCTGGGACTCCTCATGGGATGCTATGGCAGATCAGGGGTCCACAACCCACCTGGTGCTGAAGGAAGGGACAGAGGTGGGGGTGAAGGGAAGGATCTGTGTGTACAGGACTCCCAAATGCCCCATGGAGTCCAGCCAGAGTAAACGCTGCTGAGACCAAAAGCCTCCCTCCTGCAGGCAGCTGCACCAAGAGATCCAAAGCCCCTCGCTGAGCCAAGCCCCGGGGAAGGGCAGCACCCCTGTGCCCTCCTCCAGCAGTGGTGGGGGTCCCCGTGCCCCTCGTCTGGCTGCAAACCCCTGATGGTCCCCTGCAAAGCCCCAGTGCGCACCCCAGCTCCGGTGTCCCAGACGTGGGGGGTGGTGGCTCACACCAGAGGGGACAAGAGGTGAAGAGCAAGCAGAGAGGATGAGCGGTGCAGAAGAGGGGTTGGGTCCCCTTCCGACATAAACGTGTCTGCTTGTGCCTGGGCTCACCAGGTGGGCATTTACACAGCAAAAGGAGCGCTGCACCCCAGGTCCCTCTCCAGCCTCCCCTTCCACCTGACAGTCCATAGTTCACATGGGAGATAGAAGCAACACAACTACTTTTTCCCTCCTCCAGGTTTCCAAAATCAGCTAAGGAGGGGAAATGCCCAGCAAAAGGCTTTGCTGTTAGGGCTCATGTTGAGCTTGGCCATGCTGGTTCCTGCAGCTCCGATGGCCACACAGACCTCCCTTCCTCTCCTGGGTGGCAAAAGCCTCTTCCATGAGTGCTGCCAGGACCTCCAAGTGCAAGTAACTCACCACGAGTATCCTATTCTCTCTGCTTTGTCTCTCTGGATTGCAGGACTACCTTCACTGATGTCCCTCAGGCCAGCTTCTCTCCCAGCACAGCACCAAGGGGACCCACCTGCCCTGCTCCAACTCCGTCTCCGGGTGGGGGCTATGAAAACACCGAATCACCCCGTGTGAAAGCAGCAAAATTCCCTCTGTTCTCCCCATGCATCTCCTGTCCCATGTCCCCTTTCTATAAGGACGTGCCTGCCGCCAACCGAGACCAGTGGGAAGGGCCAAGCTGCTTTTCTTTTGCCCTAGAGGGAAAGCCAGGAGGATCATTTTTCCCCAGCGAGGTGTGTTTTCAAAACAAGCCTCAGAAGGATGGCTGTGGTGTTACCCATCACCAGCCTGGGCATCGTCTCACGGAGACCTCAGGCACTTAAATACAGCTGGGTGCTTGGGGAGTTGTCAGCTCTCAAGGGAGGCAGGACAGGCTGGCAGCAGATTCGAAGCCAAAAACGTGACTCCTGGGTGCTGCTGGGCTTTGGAGCAGGCGCAAGGGCTTCAGGGCTGAGATATTCAGGGGCTTAGTCTTGAAGCTTCAGGGCTTAGACCTTCAGTGGTCACCAGGGAGCAAGGAAGGGTTGGGGGAAGATGGCCTTAGTATGGCTAAAGGAAAATGTTTTCCCACCAGTGGGCAGTAGGTCTTTCCCCACAGCAAGATCCACGTGATTTCAGCTGCCTGGAAAGGCCCGAGGACTACAAGATACACATGGTCACATCTGCTCCACCAGCCGGACCCCACTGCAATGAGCAGTGCAACCAACAGCAAGACCTTGCCCCCATCCCGCCCCGCTCCCCACTGTTTCCCAGCCCCAAATCCTTGCACCCTCACCTCCTTCTCTTTCTCCAGGTCCCAGAAAACCCTCCACAATTAAATCCTCCCCTGACCACCACCTCCTCCCTGACAGGAATGGGCTTCTGCAGAGCTCACTGCCAGTCCATAGGTCTCAGTGTTAGAGCCGGAAAGAAATAACCTCGTACCACATTTAGCGCGCATCTCCCAGAGGAAGCATCTTGACATCTGCAAATCACAGAAACTTTGTGGCCTGCACCAATAAAACCTGAACACTTTACAACAGACAGAACAGGAGCTGCAATGGTGGCAGCCCCCAGCTTTGTTACCTCAGCCCTCCCTGTTACTCCCCAGTCAGTTCATCATTATTAATGTCACTACAATAAATACCAGAACAAAATTGACAGCGTTTGGCCACGTATCTTAAAGCATTGTCCCACTCCTCCTTCAGTCCGTGTCTTTGCAGCCTCGGTTTCCATCCCTATCAGTCATCAGAGGAGCCTTTAGGGACAAACCGTTTGACTATGTGACCAGACAGGTAATAGAAGCCATGCAGAAGTGATGCTGTGGCGTCGATGACCAGCGAGAAGGTGCCCCCGATCCCGGTAGCCATGTCTTTGAGGACAGAGGGAATGGCACAGATGGAGTGGTAAGGGAAAGCAGCGAGGTGAAGGACAAACCCCACGGGGATGCGCAGGATTCTGTAGGTGAGGGACGCCACATCTTGAACAATTTGCAGGAAGCCCAGGAAGATGTTGATGATGACCCTCCCCACATCATAAGGGATGCTGATGAGCACCATGCTGATGGCTTTAAGGTAGGACATCAGCCCGTTCCACAGGCTGTAGACTCCATCCAGAACTGTACCACCAACCCGCTTGATAACAAGCCACAGAAAATAAAACACAAACTTCACCAGCTCCACAAACACGTAGATGAGGAGTTCCAGCAGTTTGATGAAAGGGGTAGCAATGATGCCAGCAACTCTTCTCACCAAGCCGCTGTCTTTGGCCTCCTGGCTGTCACTTGTTCCTACTTGCTCTCCAGAGCGGATCTGACTGACAGCTTGCAGTATTGCTTCTGTTTTCTCCTGGCTTTGGTTGTCTTCCCCGCAGTTGCCCTTGAACAAGTGAACTCCTGCTAGAAGCTGCTTCTCCAGCTCTCCCACCGTGAGGTCTGCCAAGCTGTTCTCATCATTCATTTTTTTCACGAGGCCCAGGGACCATCCCTCTGGAGCATCACAGCAGGCTGCCAGCCAGAGGGTCTCTGGCACTGAGACCTTGCCTTTAACTTGGACGCTGGAAGGAATTGCGCCTGCAAGGAGATACAGATGATCCTTCTTGGAGCAGTGAGGGACCAGAGCTTGCTTCACTACCCTCCCGATGTCTCTGTGCCAGCTTTTGCTCAGAGATGGGCTCAGAGGGACGGCATTCGTCAGTGTGTAAGTGGCCATCTGGAAATCCTCCTCATGGAGAAAGCTGGGATTGAGCAACCCTCTCTCGTAACCGGATCCCACGTAGTCTGAGGTCAGGGCTTGATTTGCACCAAGGTTGGCCACAGTGCCAACGATATCAGCTTCATGCACCATCTCATGCAGGTCATTTTCTGGATCGTCTATCTGAAATAGTAGAGAGAAGAGTTACTGGATGCAATTTGCCTTCCTAGAAAGCAAGGTTTAAAATGAGACTTGAAATATATTTTCCATTATGACTGCTACTACACGTTGAGCATCGGACCACATCCTGTGCTCCCTCCTTATTTTCCCTGCAGTGCTTCAGAGGAGTGTGTGCTCTACTTAGCTGCCCTGTCAAACACACCCGTTTAGTCTGCAAGAGTTGCTTGCAGCTCTCCAGTCTGGTCCGCAGAACAACACAGCCACCAGAATCTCACCGGTCACCCTGCACCAAGCCTCTAACTTGTGGCGTTTTTTTCTAGAAGAGATTTTTAAGACCAATAGATGGCTTGATTAGGGTTATGTTCTCACCCCCTGTGGTGGTGGTACCTCCAGTCCATTCAAGCACCTACCATGGCACCTTAATTCAGTCCCTCTAAACTATCAAATCCAAGCCATGAAGAAAAACACCCATGGTATATGAGACGCCTAGAGAAGGCATTTACCTCTGACCACTGATTGTGTAAGAAGCTGGAATGAAGCCAGGCACCTCGGCAGGTGACCTGAACTTCCCTGCCTTGAACACAGACACGGCAGTGAGCTCCTAGGGCTCTCTCAGGGCTTGTCATTAGTAGTCTGAACCCCATGTCATTAACAGTCTGAACCTCATCCTTAATGCCCGCAACAGCTCCTGGCATAACATGGGTGAGGATGCCACCACCGCAGGTACTCGATGGAATCTGTGCAACCTGCTCGTGTCTGTCATTCCCGTGCCGCAGAGCCAGAGGTAGCAGTCGCTGCAGTGGGAATTCGTCCTGGAGTCACGCACAGAGCCGTGCACGGGGAGGTAACGAGCAGTGGGAGCAGCAGTGCTCAACGTCAAGGCGTGCTCAGGTCTTTCTCGGGTGGCCGCAGCTCTGTCTGTTCCTTAGTCACTCCTACTGACGCTGCCTGCAGCCGCTCCGGAGGGTGTGCCAGATTGTCATTTTCTCCCCCAAATTAGAGGGTGAGAGTGTTGGTAGAAGCTCAGAGGGTGGCAGACGGTCTCTGACTGTCGCTACCTCCTGTAGTCTCTGTTTCAGAGGCTGTGGCCCTCAGCCCCCATCACTGAGCTGGCCCATTTAAACCTGCTGTCCTTGCTCCTGGCCTATGGACTGTTTACTGCACTATATAATAAGTACTTTGGAGACATCTATAGCGAACAGTTCATAGTCTACCTTGAATCGCTCCCCAGTAATCCTTCCTCGTCTCTTGGCCATCCTGCAATGTAGTTGGGCAGATGTCCAACTACGTCCTTGCAACCTTACCCAGAGTTTGCATCCTCTTAGTGCCGCATCACCTCCTTGCAGCCAGCCTGTGCTGAGAGGCAGGGTGAAAGGGCCAGCGCCAGCGAGTGTCAGCAGCTATCCATCACCCTCCCTGCAGGAACCGAGCTCTGCCTGGCCTCCTGTGTCAGCCAAGCCCCTCCGGTCCAGGCTGAGGGCTCCCTCGGCACCAAGGCTGGTCACAGTGTCAATGCTGGCCATTGCAGAGGGCTGCATTACTCCCGTCTCCTGCTAAGCAGGTTTCTTGCACTTCGTTTTGAAGCATTTGATGCTTATTGCTTCAGGACTGGAAGGGTCACAGCGAATCCTATGGGCTGGTGCACAGGTCGTAGCTTTTTCTAAATATGCCACTTAAGAAAGACTTACCCTGTGCTGCTTCTGCCTTATTCTGCTCCTCTTGCTCAGACACCCCAAACTCACAGGCTGCAGCTGGCTGATGAGGCCAGACATTTTGTGTTCCACAAAATCACTGTCCCTCTCTGCCCCTCCAACTCATTCTCCCTCTTCTGACGCAATGACGGTGTTGTGCCATGGGACAAGGGACGCACCCAGTGTGTCTAATCCCTCAGTACAGGTGAGGAGGGAGCGGGCAGGGGTGTGAGGCTGTGCCTGGGAGCTGCCCATCATGCTATGGCCCTTTAGAGCCTGACACCCTCGCAGAGACACTCATCCCCTCTCGATCCCATGGCAGTGCTGCCGTACCACAAGGACACGTAGACCCAAGACCAGTCAGCTCTACCTCCTGGCAGAGAATCCCAACCTACATGAAGCAGATGGTATAAACTCCATTTTTCTCTCCTTATGAGCCAATGTATGCAAACCTTGAGGTACCTATCAAGAAAATATGTCTCGGGTTACCTGTTCAGCTGCAGGCTTTTGCACATACCATTGGGATTGGTTAGGTGTAATTAAAAAAGAACATGATAAAAATGTGGCTGTGTGCAGTTCATGTGTAAGGCTCTGACATCACTGAGTTACGCTTATAATAACTCACATTATGGTTTGTAATAACTCATGTGTAACTGAGGTTTTCATGCCTCTTCCAGCTCAGCCTCAAAGGCAAGTTGTCTCCAGCATTGCATCTAATCTGCATTGCAAGTTACCTTTCCTCACTTCTTCAAAAAACCTTTGGCTTGTGTCACCGCCAAAGCATATCTGCATTCCTGGAGTCAGCCATGAAGCCACCTGTCCAAATAACCTGGAACAGCTAAGGGCAAGATCCAAGCAGACAGGTAAACACCTCATTCATAGGATGGGGCTTTAAAAATAAATTATGCATCTGAACACCTGTACAGACGTGAGCACCTAACGATATTGAGGTGTTTCATAAAGTGGGGGTTGCAGATTCACAGGTGGGGCAGAGGGGGATTAAAAGTATGGCAACACACAGCTACTAGGGCAGGCAGCTTCCATCAGGTTTGGTCATTTAACAAGGCAGGACACTGCTACCTCCCACCTTCCCCACCCTAGTACTTCGGATCCCAGGTGAACTTCAGCATCCCACTCCCCTTGCTACTGCCTCAGGCACGCTTACGCCTTTGATTGCAGTGGAAATATTTTATCCTGCTTTAGTGTAGGATTTGTTTCTTAGGTAGGAGGCACGGTGCATCTTACGCCAAGGTTTCTGTTGCAGGACGTTCACACGAGTGGCTCTAGACGTACTCGTTTCTCTTGACTGTCTACCAAGAGAGATGGCAAGAGCAGCTCAGAGGTAGCTATACTATAGCTGGGTGATGCAAATCCCACCTTGGTCATCTGGCTGGTGGTAGTCATCAACCAAATGAAAACATAGGGGAATTCATCCAGCCCTTCATACGTTGGGACAGAAAAAGCAACTCCAGAGTTTTCCATCTCTCTCTAAGCTACAGAAAGAGACAAAACCATAGGTTTTCAGACATCCAAAACAAGATGAGGTGAAAGCCACCTAAATGAGTTGCTCTCAACCCTTAGGAAAGCTGTGGCAGAGCAGATATTCAGACCTGACCCTGGGGGAGTCCCATCAGCACCCTGTTCATCAGCCTACCCTTCCTGCTGTCTAATTTGTCACTAATTGGTGAATTAATTTGCTCTTTCCAGCTGCCAATCGGCAGTGGGTAGCACTGACATTCCTCGCAGTTCTCACCCAATTACTGCCTCTGTGCTACATTTGGCATTTGTTTCTCAGGCAGACATTCCTGAGGAGGTAGGCATGCAGGGAGTGAGATGATGCCCTCACCACTTACATCATTACCCAAAAAAAAAAAAAAAAAAGCATGTGACAACCCTGAGGCCCTCACCGGAGTGCTGAGAGCGTTTTTATAGTGATTTCTTTCTGCTTGCTATGTTTCTGCATCTCCATGTGCATGCAGATAGGCATAAGCACACGCCACTGTGCAGCTGAGCCTGCTCATACCTGGCTATCCCTGTCTCGGTGAGGAAATTACCCAGAAAATAGGCAAATATAACCTCATGGGGCTATGCTGCAGAGCAGGCGTTGCTAAGGGTTCCCTTCAGCAGCCATCTGACCTTCCCTAACCATCTGACCTAGCCTTGATAGGAACACACATAATGGGTGTGAAATCTCTTCCCCACTTTCTCCTCCCAGATCTGGTGTTACAGCGTCTGAGAGGGCTGTACGTGCTTATTTCTTGAGTTACAGGAATTTTTCGTAGTCCTGATTTCTTCCTCTTACAGATTCTCCTGCCGATTTTTTTTTCCTAGTAGTCTTCTGTCTCAGACTGAGATTCCTCCAGTGAACCGCGGAGCTGCTACCTCCCACCTCCGAGACACCTGCAAGGGGTGAACGAGACCCACTAGTGTAAACTGAGAACAGACCCACAGTAACCCACGGGGATGCTCTGGAGAAGACAAAGCAACTAAGGCCAGCACCTGGCCAACTATTTTCGGAGCCACAGTAGGTTTTGGGGCTTTGGAGTGCTGGCAGAGATGATGACAAGGTGAGGGGCGAAGAGGGATGGAGCGGGGAGGGTAGGGGAGCCAGCTGGAGGGAGATGCTGGAGAACCAAAGCTGCTGTGGAGGGGCTGCCCACTGCTCCACGGCAGGAACGGTTTTTGAGGCTGCGAGTCAGACCGCCAGGAGCAGGAGGAGACATGGGGGCTAGACGTGATGAAGGGTGTCAGTGGCCAAGGCAAATGGGAAAGGATATCATCTCTGCCGCTTTGCCTGGCTGCCTCCAAGGCAGTGACCGAAGATCCTCGCTTGCCTAGGTATCCTCTTTGTGCTTTAAAAATTCGTTACCCTTCCTCAACTGCATAATGGCAGAGGCTGCAAAAATCTTCCCCCTGTTTTAAAAGGGCAAGCAGACACCTCCCACAGCAATCTGTGAAGTGGAAGGAGAGCAAATCAAAAAGCCCTTGGCAACTCCTCCAACTCAAAACCCAGCCCAGAGAGCAGGACGACAGTCCCAGGTGAAGACAGAGATGTGGGATCTCGTTTTCACTGCCTGTGGCCTCGTGACCTTAGCATCTCCTCACCCGACGTGAGGAAAATGAGCGCGGCAGCCATTCTCCTGGGACACGGGGGAGCTTTGGTTCTGGCAACGTCCAGCACCCAGCACCCGATGGCCCCGCTCCCAACAGGCTGCGCTGATACTGCAGCCACTCCTGCCCTGACAAAGCACCCTTGCACACTGCCAATCTTTCGTGAGTTCAATAGATGGGGGTAGGTTGATGTTTGCTACAAAATTCCCCATGATCACTGCTGAAAAACCTGAAACACGGCAAAAAAAACAAAAGAGAAGTAAAGCATACATGTTCTTTTAGGGCACCAGCAACTTTTTAAGGATTTCCTTTAAATTTAACAGCCTGAAGCACTTGCTTAAACATGCCAAGTATCAGAGGAGACAAAAACCACCAAGGTTCCAGCAAAATTCATTTTATACTGCACACTTCTGACCTGACTGAAGCCTGCACGCTCCAGGACACGGCAACTCATTTCCCTACCAGAATCTGCAATACAGGGACACAGTAAAAAGCTGCAGAGTCAACTTGGTGAACCGCAAATGGCTGTGTTTTATCCCTGCGCAGCGAAGCTAAAGAACTCTTATCAACACTGCCATCACACTGGCAACAGAACAAACTTCAACTTGACGCTGCGATGTTTAACCCTGCTAGCCACCGGCAGTGCCCCGTGCTCGCGATAGCCGGCGAGGCAGGGCAGAGACATCAGCTGGTGTCAAAGATAACTCTCCTCTCCCCTGGCGTTGCACGCTCGCACGCAGCAGCCTCCCAACCTTCATTATAAGCCCTGTGGGACAAGGAACTATTTGTTTGCTCAGTTCCAAGCACAAAAATAAGTTCTGCTGGTGTCAAATTAATATCGAAAGAAGTTCAACAAGCAGAGCTCCTGCCTTCTTTGCAAAATCCTAGCCCCAGCTTCACCCCAGAGGAAATGTTCTCCAGCAACCTTTGGTTTACAGGAAAGGAAAAGCTGACTTACCTGCGGTTCGACCAGCCAGTTCTCCTTCTCGTTTTGGGCTGGCTTTGTATACTTAAAAGCTGAATAAAGAGGGATTTTGTCCTTAGTACTGTAGAGGGTTGCAAAGCGTGGCTCTTTGTTGTACTGCTGACAGATTTTCACGTGGAACGGCTCCGTAAATCCTTCGGGTGGGACTTGTCCAGGGAAGAACGTGTTACACTCAGCAAAACCAGTTTCATCCTCTCCAACAACTCTGCCCTGGGAAAAGCCTGGGAAAACTGAGATGCAAAGCAAAAATACAATTGACGTCTTCATAGTCCACTCCCTGGAGCTGAGGGAAGCCCCGTCCGTGTCCGCTGGGTACGGCAAAGGACCTGTGCTCTGAGTCCATGCAGCAGGGAAGCTAGAAAGCATCTGGAATTCGGGTGTAGCGTGCGAGGGAAATGAAATACGAAACCACAGCCGATCCCTTCGGGGAGCCTGCGCTTGCTGCCTTGTGAGAGCGAACCTGCGCCAGGCTGTGCCGACACACGCTGCGGATGCCAACTGCCCGCAGGAGATAGTACCAAGCAACCTGAAATCATCCGAGCTCCTTGGGAAGAGGAGGAGGGAAGCCTATGGAGACATGGGGCTATTGCTGAACAGCACCGGCTGTCCGGGCTGGGGCTCAGCGTCGGCGGGGGTGTGGTGTGCTGCATTGCAGCAGAGTCCCCGGCAGGAATTTTGGCTGACGCAGCCAGAAATCTTCCTGGGGCTGCCAGGAGGGATGCTGCAAAGTCAGATTCACCACTCCGAAGAAGGCTTTAGCTGCCCTGTCCAGCTGCAAGACTGGTCAAAGGAGGGGAAGAGGAAGGGAAAGGAAGAAGAGAGGTGGCAGGATGTTGGAACTGCTGGGAACCCACTTTGCCCCTTTTTGGAGTGTCTGTCATCACTATTGCTGCCAACCATGTGCTGCTGAGGTGCCTGGGAAAGGCATTCTCCTCCTGTCTCTCCCGGAGCTGTATGGGGCATCCAGACCCCTCCAGTATCACCTCCTCTTGGCAGACTCTCCCTCAGAAGGGATTAACAAGGGGCAGAAGGATGAAGACCCTCAGATCATATACCCCTAATCAACACCCACCTCTGAATATTTTGACCAAAAGTATAGAAATGGCCAAAAAAAGGAGAACTCTACCTAAAGGACTGCTCCTCTAAGTTTATGATCAGCAGAGCGACCATCTGCCCAGCGAACAGCTGCCTATGATACCTCGGCTACTGCTGGGTAAAAGGCTGTGTTCCTTCAGCAACTGGGAAAATTCATGTTTTCAGAATGGTGGGGATGGAAAGGAGACTACAGAGCTGTTCCTCAGAGTCAAGAATATGTTCATTTTCCCACCCAAGAAGTTAGATACGGGCAGCTCTGTTGCCAACAACTTAAAAAATCCTAGGTACCAATAAAGCATAGGTGCCTTTTATAATATGATTTCCAAGCAAAAAATTCCAAGCACTACCAACCCATAAGTGCTTTGTGGATGAGGTGGGAGTAGTCTATATTGCAAAGGATGAAATGGGACAGCGGGTGGTTAAAATGTCTGCCTGAGGTCAGAGAAGGAGCCTGTAAAAGTGCTAAAAATAGACTGAACTCTGAGAGGATCATTCCTCCACTTAGGGATGACTTCTAGAAGTATAAAGGCAAGGAAATACGTCAGCACCTCTTGGTGTGGTGTTATCAGCTGAAGGAGACAGAGGTGGGCTGGACAGGCTGGGAAACAACAGGATATGTAGTAAGTGGGCTTGGCTTTGGTCCAGGCAGATGCTTGGTCACCCAGCCCTGACAGAAAGAGTTAGTCATGTTCAGGAAAGATGATGGAAATGAAAGCACAGACACAACCTGACCTGAAGAGAGCAGCTCCAAAAGACAGGCTTAAAATTTCATTTTCCTGGATGTAAAAAGGCTCCTGGGAAATCAAGAACCGGAGCTAAACCTTAGCTATTAGATGTTTTTCTGATCGCAGGCTTGGAATTACCTGGGCAGCAGAAGGAAATATTTTCACAGGCACGGTAAAGCCCTGCTCCCCAGGCAAACCTAGGCCAGGCAATGCCTTTAAACACCCCACTCCAAGACTGACATGCATTACCACAGGATAGGCATGGTCCCCATCTGATGAAAAGGCAGCATGAAGTGTCTCAAGATGGGCGTAACAGTGACCAGCATGCTGAGCAGATCGATGACTTCCACCAGGAAACAGCCTGCCTCTGCCCTAGACCTGCACATCAACCTCTTGCCTCAAAGGAGCATCGCTGCCTCATCGGATGCAGAGCCCCAAGTTTTTTTCTGAGCACCAAGGGCTTCTTATCTGCTTTTTGGGAACTCTGAGCAGCTCTTTCCTTTCAGGTTGAGAGGCTGGGGTCTGCCTGCCTATTCAGCTCTGTATTTACCAGCAAATGGGTAACCCTTGACTCATCCTGAAGAGCAAGAGCCTCAGGCTCTCATCTCCCATGAAGAGCATCAGTGTGAAAGCCAGCACGGAGCTCCACTCCTCTGCTCCCAATCCCATTTTCTCTCCAAGCAAGGCCCCTCTCCAGTTTCTATCTAATTTGAGATAACCTTTGTGACCCTCAAACGTGGATTTTTTTCTGTTTTTGCTAAAATCACTATTACTAAAGAGACTAGTGCCACCATCATGGTGTGGCACTCCCTGTGCTGAGAAGATAAAGGCCAAAGGACTGCCCTGCCCCAGGAAGATCACGCTGTCAGCTAAGGGATCACAGACAGACAGAGAAGTCAAACACAGTGAGATGGAGTCGGTCAGAGGTTTTGACAACTCAGTGCTCCAGTAGCTTATCTGCTATCCCACACTTTTATAGGCATCACAGGGAATGATGCCTATAGGGAACGATGCAAAAGGGAATATTAATATCGGATCCAAAACAGTCCTAAGGCTGTTCATATGAGCAGAAGGGTTCTGGGAAAACGCACATTGGGTTGGAAGCGGGCAGCATGAGCTGGGAGCAGCAGCACGGCCTCACAGGGGCTGCCTCCCCCAAACCCACCGAGGAATGCAACAAGCCCACAGTGCAGGCAAGCACCTTATGCTTGATGGGATGGAGGAGAGGGAGCCCAGGGAAGATGCAAAGAGGCAGGTGGTGTGGTGAAAGGGACACATGAGAAAAGTGATCTCTCGGTGGCAGGCTGAGCTGTGTAGAAGGACAGGAGAGGCTGTTGGCAATACCTGTGCAAGGCATATCAGAGATAAAGTGTGGGGGGGAAAGGAAATTAAAGATAGAGAGACTGGAGAGAGGGAAGGGCAAGAAAACAGGTAAGGATCCAGAAAATCATATTGACCAGGAGGAAAAGGAGGATATTGGGCAAAAATTAGAGTTAAAGGGGATCTACTTTCCTCAAAAACTGGGGTACTAAGGAAATGTTAAGAAGGAAAATGAATGGAAATAGGTGTGAGGAAATCCAGGGTCAAGTGAGGAGATGAGAGAGAGCTGAGGAAAGCTGTGTCCTTCTGTGATGAGAAAAATTAGGAGAAAACATGAGGAGGAGGAGGGGGAAAGGAGAATGAAAGGAGGTTTTCATCCATCTTCATTGGCATAACGTGGATGACCAGTCGTCTTCTTCCTCGAGGGTCTCAAGTACCAAGACCAATGTCTTAAGGGAAAGAATACCTCCTTGCAAAACAAACCTGAAAAATATGCCAGCATTCAAACCCTTTAGCCATGAAGAAGCCGCTGGGCTTGTTTGCCTGCTTTCCCACACTGTGCTTCCAGCCCTGTCTCTCGGTTCACACGGCTGACACTGGATTTGCTACAAATAGCAAATCTTTCTCCTCGCATGCCTGACCCCTCTAGTCTAGTCTTTCAAAACATTCTTGACTCCAAATATTTTTCCAGGCCAGATCTCCTGTCTCCTGCCATGACCTCTGGGCAGGACCCCAGTGCTGTATGTGACTGTCCCATTCTTCTGAGAAGGAAAGGAAGAAGAAAAGATCTCCAAGGGCAAGCAATCCCACTGGAGAGACATCATCTCATTCAGTGGAGGTACCAGGGATTGGACTTGGAGCACGGCAGTGCCAGCAGACACGCCATGGCATGTCAGAGAGCACATCTGCCTCCTCACTGTCTCACGGGGAAAGAGATTCTTTCTAAAATTAGCTTAAAAATTTGGTCTGGGAATGGAGC